TGTTGATTGTCATTTATGCTTAGAAATATTTACTCATATATGCTTAGAAGTATATAATCATTTGTAGATTGAAAGAATGTCTCATCCTAGGAGGTCTGTAACAACTCTGTGTAGCATGAAGAGGGGAGTGCGTTCACTCCTCTACAGAGTGTTCTGGTATAGATCACACACCTCCTAGGAGAGGTCGTATCTTCTCTTATTGATATATGGTATAGCAAACACACGTACATCTCTTTAAGTATAAGAGCCCTTTGTTCAGATGGACCCGCTAGACTCCTGGCACCAGCTTTGGAGAGTCTTCACAGGGTCACATCTTGACCTCACATACACACACACACACACACACACACACACACACACACACACACACACACACACACAGGCAAGGTACTCTTTGTGTGTATGTAGACGTCATATGTTAATGAACCTATGCATATTCATGTAACCTCAATAAAAGAGCAGTGTTACGGGAGAATGGACGAGAGCAACTGGGGTCAAGCGAAGGAACGGCTGAAGAACTTTGCCTACTTCGTGTCTTGCTTTGTTGTGTAATTGTATTGTCTTCAACGTTCCAGCGAATAAGTTCAGGCTACAAACCTATCAACCACCACCTGTCTTTTTTTGCTCTGCCCTTTTCTTGGTTGCTGTTATAAACAAACAGATTATTTCAGGGTCTCTTTTCAAGAGACTAAAAGCAATATAAGTGATAAATATTACCATTCTGTAGAATATTCTTATATTCCACTTTTACTTGTTCCCATGTTCTAGTGGGTCCTGTCGTGGCTCTAATGTGAAAGAGGATATAATGTAATATAATATAATATAATATAGTGTAATATAATAAATTTACCCTACCGCCTACTGGTGTTGGCCAGAGGGGCCGATGGTGCGATATGGCAGCCTCGCCTCTGTCAGTCTGCCCCAGGGCAGCTGTGGCTACAACCGTAGCTGCCTCCACCAGTGTGTGAATGTGGGAGTGAATGAATAGTGGTATTGTAAAGCGCTTTGGGTGCCTTTAAAAGCGCTATATAAATCCAATCCATTATTATTTCTATTATTAAATTACTTACGAGTTTAATTTGTCAGCAACTTCCTGCCAGCCCTCTCTCCTTGCTTCTGCAGCCTTTGCAGTGTTCCCTTGCGTTTTAATTAAACTCTGAAACTCCTGAAATCCCTCAATCAAGAGTTCTTCCTCTGCTGCAGAAAAATACTGAGCGCGCTCCTTCGACATTTTCGCCGACCAATCAAAGGGTTGCCGATCAATGTTTCTACTTTCGATGCGTAGCCCCTGTTAAGCCACCCAGTGATCTCACATTACTTCATCCAGCTGTACTAATCGTCAACAACAGGTGTGTTTGAAGAACTGGAATAGCGAGCTCAAAGTTAGCGCGATGATTTGATCTTGGATGTGTCATTTGATCTTGGATGTAGTAAGCGAGGTACGAAGAACGGACCCCTGAACTGGGATAACTAACAAAACAAACAAGAAAACATGAAACACAGGGCATGAAAAGCAGATGAACCAACAACAAGCACTGAGAGAAGTGTCCTGATTCGTATTTGAGGAAAGAGACATATGTCTGAAGGTCCATTGTGCGTCAAAACAATGATTTTATTAAAACACATATATGTGGGAAGATGAGCTCTGCAAAACATCAGCCTCGATCTCCTCCGAACAATAAATGGGGTGTCATATATATAACATAGTTGATGACGAGTAATATGCGTCAACGCAGATAAAAAACACATGCATGTTCCAGTAATTCTGCCAAGGACATATTCTAAAAAAAGAACAGTTCCTTCCTCTGTTCCTCCGCCACCCGCCAGATGCTTCCTGTTATATCACTTACTGCACTTCACTTATTTGTGAATGTGTATTCAGGCAGACTGTATGTCTGTGTTTTAACCTTAGTGCATGACCTCCCTCTGCGTCATCTGTTACCAGGCAAACTTCAATACCACAGGGCACACAGGCCTTTATTCCATCTTTGGACAGCATGTATAATATGTGGTAAATTGTACTGTAAGCATGCGTGCAATCCTTTCAATAGCTGTACTTTGAGGAGCAAACCATTAATTAACTTGACCGACCTTCAACTCTTTAATTAGCACAAAAATGCAATATGTGCATAACATGATTACGGTTGGACCTGCAATGAAAGATTGTTATGTAATTATGCTCACACCTGAAATACAGACTTTAATGTAACATCAACAGTTTCAATAAATGCTCTAATGAAATGATAAATCATAAGTGATGCAACAGTAATAATAATGGTTATGAATAGTAACAGTAAAATAATATTCTCATCCCGACAGAAGACACACTTATATACACAAAGGGAAACAAAACACAGGAGGGAGACACAGCTGAACCTACAGACATGGACCTTCCAGTTGTGGGATAAAACAAATTATTTCACTGTTACTTGTTATCTGTATTATCATTGCATTAATTAACCTTGCATTAAGTCATTATTATTGCATTAGAACCACATAACAATCATTGCATTAAAGCATTTATTGGAGCTGTTGATATTACATTAAAGTCTGTATTTCAGGTGTTAGCATAATCACATAATAATCTTTCATTGCAGGAGCAACTGTAATCATTTTATACACATTGCATTTTGGTGCTTTTTAACCCTTTAAAACCAATCAGAGCGGGCACGCTCCGTTTTGCATAACTATTTTTAAATCCCAGTAGCACTGCAACCACGTAAGCTAGCACAATAATTTTTTTTCCATATGAAACCGGAGGAGCTGTAATTACATCTCATGCCATCAGCTTGTCCTCGGTCACAGTTTCCTTCCACATACAGCTTTGCAAAAACTGCATAAAAAGCACTTGCAGCAACAAAAACATAATATTCCAGAAACACGCTTTGCCGATCAGCTGTTTGTAACACTTCCTATGTTGGAATAGACATCAGCATGAACTATCGCATGTCCGCCATTACCTGCCCGAAAACCGGAAGTGATGTCATTTTCGCAGAAATGTAGTTTTTTACCATCAGGGCCTCATGAGCCTATACTGGTGTTTTTAAAAGTTATCTTTGACTTTATGACTTTCTGTGTCGTTTCTGGGATGCTTAGGACTCATAATGCACAGCTGGAAATAGTTTATTTTGATGCATATGCGGCTTTTTTGCAAATTTGCACTATAATATTTATTTTCGTTTTTCCTGCAGTGTATAATAATTGGTGTATTTCAAAAATAAAACTATGAAGTGGTGGGAAAATATTTTGTGCAACTTTTTTGTATTTACAGTTTTGAGGGATAAGCCTCTTAAATTTCTCTAACTAGAAATATATGTTAAAAAAAACGATTTTAAATTCTTTTGTAGTTTATTGCACTTTTTTGCAATTTATGTAATGACTATGCACTTAATGCAGACATATTATTAAAATTTAGGCTGTAATGGTTGTATTGATGTATAGCAACTTCAAATGCTCCCAAAAATGGCTCCACAGCAGGTAAAAATATAATATAAGCTCTGATGGACTTGGTTCTATGGTAGGTCTTAAAGGGTTAAAGAGTTGAAGCTCGGTCAGTTAATTGATGGTCAGAAGCTTCATCCGGCGCGATGTCCAGCCGATCTATTGAGCAAAGTGGCCTAGAGCTATGGAAGGATTGCATACATGCTTACAATACATATATCACATATAATCTAGAAACAGGCCTGAATAAAGGCCTGAGGGTATTCAAGCAACCTGCTGCGTTTGAGTTTTCTTGGTAACAGATGACTCAGAATAAGTCAGGAAGTGTACTTCTGAAATGTCTTTGTTTCCTCTGTAAAGTGTGCATTTTTTGGTGGTTATTTTGAGGAGCTGTCTGGATGAGGCTATTTGAATAACCAGGTTATTCATTATTGTCTTTTGTTTGTTTATATTGGTATATGAGCTGGACGCACCTGGCTTGGAGGTGAAGAAAATGTTCTTCTCAAACTGTGTCAAAAGTCGTTACCAGAACATTTGTGGTTTTGGAAGTTATGCATGTATTGTATCTGCTTTGACGCATGAGGGGGCACCATCAATAATACCCTGATGCTATAAAAACAACTGCTTGTGTATTATTGGGCGGAGATCGACGCTGAGTGTGTGACCGTTCATCTCCCCACACGTGATTTTGAATCCCTCCTGTATCCCTCCTCGATATTTGAACCCTTAACACAGTTTTGAGCCGGCCCATCTCATGATATTCGTGCTTGTGTGATTTGAGGGCTTTACCTTTTTCATGAAGTGGTATAAAAGTGTATATAAAATATCTGTGAATCTTATTACTTCTGTTCCTTCCATGTTTTTCTAGATGGGGTGTAAGTAGGTTTCCTTTATGTCCTAATTAGCTAGGACGCCCTCATGCAAACGATTGACTGTAAGGAAAACTGATTTGACTTGTTTTGAATTGACTTCTGCACACACACATGCATCCATCGCCTCCTTGGAAGTAACTTGCATATTCATTTTGCATGAAGATGAAGATGAGAAGTCATGTCACAACAGTCGGACCAAAGGAGAAAGCAGGGAACATACAAGAATGGACAAAGCTCTGTTCATCATAGCGGCATCAGGCAAGTCTGAATTATTACGTTTCCATCATCATATTTAAGTGTGATCCTTGTGATGAAGATTATTACTGTAACTCTAAGGGACTTCAACTTTCATTGTTTTTCTTCACAAAAATGAAAAAGATGATGCATTAGTGCGTTATATTTACTCTTGACACAAATTTTCTGCCAACAGAATGGATTACACAGAAATGCATTGAAGCTAAACTCATTTATTTACTGTGTTTGCAGGCCTGTGTGCCATCGCCTCCAAACATCACTACCAGTTTGTTTATGAGCAGAAGAACTGGACTGAAGCGCTGAGTTACTGCAGAGACAAATACATAGACCTGGCTACTATAGAAGATTTGCTTTTATAAAAATAAAACTGAATTATTATGAACCATTTTTTTCTTAATTTGTATTAATCTTTATAAATAAAAATGGAAAAAATTAAAGAACTAAATTACAAAATATCACAAGATATGAAATGTTTTATACTGTATATATCAGTGCTTACTGATAATCTGACAGCCTAACTCATATATTTTATGTCTAATGAAACAAACCCACTGGTGCTTTCAGAGAGCCTGGATCGGGCTGTATGATGACATCGTTGGCTGGCAGTGGTCAACGTCAGAAACCAGTGAGTTCAGAAACTGGTCACCTGGACAACCAGATAACAAATGGGTTATAGAATACTGCGTATTTATGCTTGATGGACCGTGGTTTTATGACCCTTGTACGAATGTGTTCAGATTCGTCTGCTCTAATAACACAGGTGAGGATTTTCAACTTAACTAGAAGCTTAGAACAAAACAGGTCCTGTTCTGTGCTTTTACTGATGTTTCAACAACGGCCTAATTGTTTAGACTTACAAATGCATTTACAGTTGTACACAGCACTTAAGTATGGTCTGTTTTCAGGGTCGACTAGGACATTTGTCTTCATTGACATTATAACGAGCTACTGCAGACTTCATTACACAGACCTGGCCAGTGTGAGGAACATGACAGAGAACCAGAAGATAGATGACCTGGTACCTCCAGGGATAAGGGTGTGGATCGGCCTTTTCAGAGAGTCCTGGAAGCAGCAAACTTTGAAGAAAATGCAAAATGGGAGGACTGGGCCTGTGGCTCACAGAAGGAGTTTGTTTGCAATGTTGGTAAGCATTACTACCTGAATCATTGGCTGCTATTGGTCACAATTTACAAACTACACCCTAATGTAAAAGGTTCTTGCTGTACATCCGCTGTTGTGGTGGCAGCTGCTCAATATGTGAAAGTAACTGTATGTGAGAAAACAGTCCTGTACAGTGAGCTCCTAGCTGCTGGCTTCACATTTTGTCACCCAGAAACCTCAAGTGGGCACACAGTTTATTCTGCCAGACCCACATTCAGTGTTGTGATGGAAGCTGCATCAACCGTTGTGTTCAGTGCTGTTGGCCTTTGTTTATTTTAAGGTTTTTTTCCAAAATGACCTTTAACAAGAAAGCCTCGTTTCTGCTGTTTAATAGCAAAGAAATGTAAACGTTTTAAAATTATGTCAAATTGTGTCTCTAACAAAACCTCTGTAACTTTGGTTTTCTGTATTTTGTCCTCAGTTACTCTGACACAAAAGCAACTGCTGTGATGCCTCTGATGAAGTCTCACAGTGTCAGCTTTGTTTTTATACACAGATTTAAAAATATGGATATGTACTGGTAAATGATCAGAATTATAATATTTCTGACTGAATCAAAACTGAATCTGAATCGAATCGATTATAGAAATCAGTGACGACACCCAGCACTATTTACTGTGTAGTCATTTTTCTAAAGAGACACGCTGTGTTCCACCTTATATTGTTGTTTATATTACACATCAGCAGAGGTTTGAAGTGAACACTGTAATATTATTGTGAATATTAGTATGACAGGATGGGTCATAACAAATGGGCCATTTCTGTTTTCTGGTTGTCGCTTATATATAAAATTAAAATAGCAAACAACACACCAGGAAGGTTAATCTGAGATTTTGGCACTCATAAGTGTTTTATTGCAAGTAAATTATGTATTTAAAATCTGAATATGAAAATGCAAGTGAAAGATAGAGCTCAAATTCAAATTCAAATTCAAATTTTTATTTGTCACGTACACAGTCATACACAGTACGATATGTAGTGAAATGCTTGGACAACTGCTCGTGACCTAAAGAAAACAAAAAAGGAAAAGGCTATGAATAAGATAGGAAATAAATATGAAAAATTAAAAAGGGTAAATTTAACTAGGAAGGAATAAAATATAAATTAAGGTTAACAATGAAATAACTGTACAACACACTGGGAAAGAATAAGATAAAATATATAAATTAAATTGAAAATAAAATAACTGTACAACAAAATACACAATATAGAACTATATAAGAATGTATGAACAAAATACACAAGAAGTAAAAATAAATATATACACAATAACAGCAGCAGTGATTTAAGTGATGAAGTGAAACAATGTCCAGAAAGTCCAGTGTGTGTGTAAGAACCATATGTGTGGGTCAGTACTGTGTTGTGGTGTGATTGAGAGACCGTATCGCCTGCGGGAAGAAGCTCCTCCTCAGTCTCTCTGTGTTGGTCTTCAGGGAGCGGAATCGCTTTCCTGACCTCAACAGAGAGAACAGTCTGTTGTTGGGATGGCTGAGGTCCTTCACCATCTTCCTGGCCTTGGTCCAGCACCGCCTGCTGTAGATTGAGTGCAGGTCAGGGAGCTCGGAGCGGATGGTGCGCTCAGCTGACCGCACAACCCTCTGTAGAGCTCGTCTGTCCTGCATGGTGCTGTTCCCGAACCAGGTTAAGATGTTTCCCGTCAGGATGCTCTCTATGGTGCACGAGTAAAAGTTCCTGAGCACCTTGGAGGGCAGTTGGAAGTCTCTCAAGCGTCTGAGGTGGTAGAGACGCTGACGGGCCTTTTTCACCACGGTGTTGATGTGACAGGACCATGACAGGTCCTGCGTGATGTGAACTCCGAGGTATTTGAAGCTGTCCACTCTCTCCACTGGGCACTCGTTGATGACGGGGGTCTGGTAGTTCCTCTCCTGCTTAGTGCTGAAGTCCACTATCAGCTCCTTTGTCTTACTGACGTTTAGAAGGAGGTTGTTCCTCTGGCACCAGTTCTCCAGATTCCTAATCTCCTTCAGGTAGGCCGTCTCGTTGTTATCAGAGATCAGGCCCACCACGACGGTGTCGTCAGCAAACTTGATGATGGTGGTGGAGCTGGTAGTGGCCACGCAGTCATATGTGTACAGAGAGTACAGCAGGGGGCTCAGAACACACCCCTGGGGGGCTCCAGTGCTGAGAGTGGTGGAGGCTGAGACATGTCCGCCCATCCTTACTGCCTGTGGTCTGCCAGTTAGGAAGTTGGAGATCCACTGACACATAGATGAGCTGAGTCCCAGATGCTCCAGCTTGGTGGTGAGTGTGGAGGGAATTATGGTGTTAAATGCAGAGCTGTAGTCTATGAAGAGCATTTTAACATAATTCCCCCTTCTAGTGTCCAAGTGAGTGAGTGATGTGTGGAGGAGATGAGAGATGGCATCGTCTGTGGAACGATTTGGACGGTAAGTGAACTGTAGTGGGTCCAGTGTGTCTGGTAGTGAAGAAATGATGAAGTCTCTGACCAGGCGTTCAAAGCACTTCATCACTACTGAGGTGAGGGCTACAGGGCGATAGTCATTGAGAGAAGCAGGGTGGGGTTTCTTCGGGACAGGAACAATGATGGACTCTTTGAAGCATGTGGGGATCACCGACTGAGATAAAGAGATGTTGAATATCTCAGTGAACACAGGAACTAGCTGGTATGCGCAGTCTCTTAGGATACGACCTGGGATGCCGTCTGGTCCTGCTGCTTTCCTGGTGTTCACTCTCTTGAAGGCTCTCTTACTTCATGCTCGGAGATGACGAGCACGTTTCCGGTGCTGGCAGTATCTTCCTGTCTGCAGCCGTTAGCGCCGCTAGCATTAGCATCGTTGGAGTCCTTAGCTGCAGCCTCGAAGCGAGCATAGAAAGTGTTCAGCTCGTCTGCCAGAGTCACGGCCGCGCTCGTCATACCGGTTGTTGGTGCTTTATAGTCCGTTATTGTCCTTAGTCCCCGCCACAGGCTCCTACAAAGACTGTTCTTTTTAAGGAAAATGAGATCTTTTAATGTCTCATCTGAGATGTTGTCTTTGTTTTATAGAAGTTTTATCGAATCTGTGATGTCTTTTTGTATCGCTGCCTGGTTTGGTAACCTGACGGTGAAGAATAAGAATCGGTTGGGACTTCTGGTAAAAACCGCTAGCAAAATTTCAGGGCGCTGGCAAGATGGACTTTTGGCCATTTACAATAGAAACGTGCTTAGAAAGGCTCATTCTATTATTAATTGTGTGAACCATCCACTTCACAGTGAGTTTGAGTTGTTGCCTTCCAGCCGCCGTTTTAGAGTACCTCCGAGGAGGACTAAAAGACTCCAGGTCTCTTTTATCCCTACTGCGTCTTGTCTCCTTAATGGCAAATAATTGTCCTTGAATTTTCTATCATTATTATTGTTATTATTGTTTTATAGTATTGTTCTGTTGTTCTTATCCTCCTGCTGCTAAACTAATTTCCCCTTGTGGGACAATAAAGAAAAATTGAATTGAAATTGAATTGAATAGAGTCACTCTGTTGGAGTTGTGACTCTAGTTTCCTCCCGTAGCGCTGCTTCGCCTCTTTTACCGCCCTCCGCACGTTATATGACGCGGCTTTGTACGGGTCCATGTCCCCCGTCGTGAGTCCCGTGTTGTAGGCAGCGGTGCGGGATCTCAGAGCGTCGCGGATGGTTTTATCCACCCATGGCTTCTGGTTGGGAAACGTTGTGATAGTCTTTGTCTCCACGGTATCGTCCGCTAGTTTCCCGATGAATCCCACAACCGCTTCCGTAAACACGTTGACGTCATCATCGGAGCTGTTTCTGAACATGGCCCAGTCCGCTTCATCGAGTGCGTCCTGTAACGCGGCCACTGATTGATCCGTCCAGCGCGCGACCTTCCTCTGAACCGGAACTTCCTGTTTCAGCCTTTGTTTGTATTTTGGCATGAGGAAGATGGCGGCGTGATCAGATTTGCCAAACGGAGGGCGGGATTGTGCCTTGTAGCCGTCCTTGACCGTAGTGTAGCAGTGGTCCAGTGTCCTTTCACCTCTGGTGGGGCAGGTGATGTGTTGATAAAAGTTCGGCGCTGCGCGTTTGAGGTTGGCGCTATTACAGTCCCCCGTCACAATAAGCGCAGCGTCCCGGTGTTGTGTCTGGTGCTGTGTGAGTGCCTCATGCAGCTCGCATAAGGCGGTGACCGTGTCCGCTTGTGGTGGAATATAAACGGCACTTACAATGACCGATGTAAATTCCCGAGGTAGATAAAAAGGACGACACATGATGGACAGTAGTTCCAGATTTGGTGTGCAGGAGCGTGTGAGAGGAACAACGTTCGCACTGTTGCACCAGTTGTTGTTCACCATTAAAAACACGCCGCCTCCCCTTGACTTCCCCGAGTCCCGTGTCCTGTCCATGCGGTGAACCGAGAAGAACTCGGCCGGCTGGATGGCGTGGTCCGGCACCGCTGGGTTCAGCCATGTCTCGGTGAAGCAGAGGAGATTGCAGTCCCGAATGTCTCTCTGGAACTTTATGCTGGCCCTGAGGTCGTCAAGCTTGTTCTCCAGTGACTGGACATTGGCGAGCAGGATGCTAGGCACAGGTGTGCGGTGTGCACGAGCTCTCAGCCTGTTCCTGACGCCGGCTCGCTTCCCTCTAGGCCGCCGCTTCCCTTTGTTCTCCCTCAAGATCTCACTCGGCCAGCTCGGATCTGGAGTTAAAAACTTCGAATTGTGAGTACATTGTATACCAGCTGATGAAGGATGTAACAATTTGTTCTTATTTTAAAAGCACCTGTTTACAAGGAAGTGGTGAAAGTGAACCTGATAAACTCCGGTCTGGATCTGACCCACCCTGATGTGATGGAAGCCACGCTGAACCAGGCAAGTCATGTTTATTTATTAATATACATGAGAGAGAGATTATACATGCACACATACATCTGTGTATGTGTGCATGTATTTAAAAATTGAAGCTCTCACTGAATTGCAGCTTTATCACAACACTGAATGTGGACCTAACAATCTGGCTGGATTCAGTTGCACGACTGTGTGAACAACTCAAGACTCTCACTACTTCTGGGTCTGTCCTCGTGATGTGTCACTGAAACTGCCAGTCGACTGTATCTGCTTCACAACAATATAGAAACAAGAATTTTTCTCAAATCAAACTTAAAGCAGAGTATTACTTCTACTTGATCACTAAACAAGTGCTTTATTACAGCATATGAATACATTTTTCTTCAATATTCAAAACACTGACTATTAGAGATGATTTCATCTGTGTATTAAAGTTGTCTACACAAAATGTTTTGTCATGCTTGTTTGCACAGACACCTCCTTCAGCTCATGTACCTTAGGCTGAGTCAGGTAAATTTAAATATCTTCTCTTAAAAATAGATTCTGAAGAATTTAGTGTATATTATTGTCTGAGTAATGTTAAGTATTTGTGTGTGTCAGATCCAACAGAAGCTGAAGGAGCAGGGAGTACAGGGAGACGTCAAACTGAGCTGGAGGAAGCAGTCAGATGGATCGGTCTTCCACAAGGACGAGGAAACGAAGAAGAAGAGCATCGTGTGAAAATAGTTCAAGAAATGTTGCTTTCGCCTTTGACCTTTCAAGTGCTATTGTGCCATATTATCATATTATTCTATGCTTTGTGTGAATATCATCATCCAAACAAAACAAAAATCTAATTATGATGTCTTTGCATAGTTTTACATAGTTTTATTCTTACCTGTTAACATTTAAAACACAAGACGTTTGCTGGGTATTTGGTGACAGTTCACTGTAATTTTAATACATGCGGTTTTTTGCTTGCCTTGATCATGATGTATTTTAGTCTATTGAAACCATTTCAAAGGGTGCAGTAGCTGGCATGTGACACATGGGGGCCCTACGCTGAAATGTAGGTCTTTTCTGAATATTACATTTGCACACGTGTGATGAAGAACTCAATATCTTTTTTTTCCCCCTTTTTTTTCCCTTTTTTTTTGCCTGTCCCGTTTGGCTCTTTCGCATCAGAATTATTGTCTAAAGGTGAAGAAAGATGCCCAACGGATTTACTTTACCAAATTGACCATCCCAGCCTTGCCGTAATGGTCCATTTGATTCACCCTTTATTGTTTATTTTATTTTCACTTGCTGAATACGGGACAGACTTGACTGGGGGAAGGTGCGTACACCTGTGAGCATGGACGCGCTTGTTTTTTTAAAAGGTTCCTTCATGTAATGATCTGCTAGAGGGTGTGGGGGGGCCACAGCCCCGTCCTCCAGGGCATGAAGCAGGTATGCAGGAGATCAAAACTCCAGACATCCAGAGGCCCCCAGAACACAAGAGACCAAGGAAGACCAACAGAGGGGCAGCCGCGCCACTGTCCCAGAAAGAGCTGAGGAGAGTCCCAGATGAGGGCTCACTCAGCAGCTGCAGAGCAGAAGCCAGGGGGGGTTGCAGTGACGCGCCCGTGAGCTCTGCCGGCAGCCAGCCGTGCCTGAGTGACCGAGCCCCAGGCCGAGAGGCCGGGGGCACCCCACCCCCGAAGTGGCCCGAGCGAGCCCCAGGCTCCAGGCCCCGATAAGCGGCCGCCAAGGAGTGAGCCGGTGTGTACCTGGACGCCCACCCCCGGACACAAAGAAACACCAACGCACCGACGTCTGAGGGCGTCTGCCACCGGCAGGGGAAGTGGTACTCTAATTTTCGTTTTTCCTGCAGTGTATAATAATTGGTGTATTTCAAAAGTAAAACTATGAAGTGGTGGGAAACTATTTTGTGCAACTTTTTTGTATTTACAGTTTTGAGGGATAAGCCTCTTAAATTTCTCTAACTAGAAATATATGTTAAAAAAAAACGATTTATTTATTTATTTATTTATCTATGCACTTAATGCAGACATATTATTAAAATTTAGGCTATAATGGTTGTATTGATTTATAGCAACTTGAAATGCTCCCAAACATGGCTCCACAGCAGGTAAAAATATAATATAAGCTCTGATGGACTTGGTTCTATGGTAGGTCTTAAAGGGTTAAAGAGTTGAAGCTCGGTCAGTTAATTGATGGTCAGAAGCTTCATCCGGCGCGATGTCCGGCCGATCTATTGAGCAAAGTGGCCTAGAGCTATGGAAGGATTGCATACATGCTTACAATACATATATCACATATAATCTAGAAACAGGCCTGAATAAAGGCCTGAGGGTATTCAGCAGCCTACTGCGTTTGAGTTTGCTTGGTAACAGATGACTCAGAATAAGTCAGGAAGTGTACTTCTGAAATGTCTTTGTTTCCTCTGTAAAGTGTGCATTTTTTGTGGTTATTTTGAGGAGCTGTCTGGATGAGGCTATTTGAATAACCAGGTTATTCATTATTATCTTTTATTTTTATTTTTTTATTACTTTGAGTTGATTTATTAGCATTTTTATATTTATGTTTTTTATGTTACATATGAGTGCTCTGTCTGTTGGGCTTTAGTAGCGGTGAAGTGACAGTGCTGCGATGAGTTTTTGCAGGCATGATTGAGTTTTGGAGAAGAGCGAGATGAGCTGGACGCACCTGGCTTGGAGGTGAAGAAAATGTTCTTCTCAAACTGTGTCAAAAGTCGTTACCAGAACATTTGTGGTTTTGGAAGTTATGCATGTATTGTATCTGCTTTGACGCATGAGGGGGCACCATCAATAATACCCTGATGCTATAAAAACAACTGCTTGTGTATTATTGGGCGGAGATCGACGCTGAGTGTGTGACCGTTCATCTCCCCACACGTGATTTTGAATCCCTCCTGTATCCCTCCTCGATATTTGAACCCTTAACACAGTTTTGAGCCGGCCCATCTCATGATATTCGTGCTTGTGTGATTTGAGGGCTTTACCTTTTTCATGAAGTGGTATAAAAGTGTATATAAAATATCTGTGAATCTTATTACTTCTGTTCCTTCCATGTTTTTCTAGATGGGGTATAAGTAAGTTTCCTTTAAAATGGTAAAAAATGGTAAATGGCCTGTATTTGTATAGCACTTTACTAGTCCCTAAGGACCCCAAAGCGCTTTACATATCCAGTCATCCACCCATTCACACACACATCCACACACTGGTGATGGCAGCTACATTGTAGCCACAGCCACCCTGGGGCGCACTGACAGAGGCAAGGCTGCCGGACACTGGCGCCACCAGGCCCTCTGACCACCACCAGTAGGCAACGGGTGAAGTGTCTTGCCCAAGGACACAACGACCAAGACTGTCCGAGCTGGGGCTCGAACCGGCAACCTTCCGATTACAAGGTGAACTCCCAACTCTTGAGCCACGATCGCCCCCTTTATGTCCTAATTAGCTAGGACGCCCTCATGCAAATGATTGACTTTAAGGAAAACTGATTTGACTTGTTTTGAATTGACTTCTGCACACACACATGCGTCCATCGCGTCCTTGGAAGTAACTTGCATAATCCTTTTGCATGAGGATGAAGATGAGAAGTCATGTCACAACAGTCGGACCAAAGGAGAAAGCAGGGAACATACAAGAATGGACAAAGCTCTGTTCATCATAGTGGCATCAGGCAAGTCTGAATTATTACGTTTCCATCATCATATTTAAGTGTGATCCTTGTGATGAAGATTATTACTGTAACTCTAAGGGACTTCAACTTTCATTGTTTTTCTTCACAGAAATGAAAAAGATGATGCATTAGTGCGTTATATTTACTCCTGACACAAATTTTCTGCCAAGAGAATAGATTACACAGAAATGCATTGAAGCTAAACTCATTTATTTACTGTGTTTGCAGGCCTGTGTGCCATCGCCTCCAAACATCACTACCAGTTTGTTTATGAACAGAAGAACTGGACTGAAGCGCTGAGTTACTGCAGAGACAAATACATAGACCTGGCTACTATAGACGACATGCAGGATGTGCAGATGCTGACAGCACAGTAGATTTAAGCAAAATGACCACCATGACATACGGCAATGTAAATTATTTTTCTGGCTTTTTTTGTGACAGTAGGACTTTAGGTTTTTGTACATTATTTAAATTTTATGGTACTGAACTATATTTAAACTATATTTTCTTGAAAGATCACTTTTCTTTTCTCACTGTTGCCAAGTGCTCACATGGGGTCATCTGATCGTTGACTTTACAGTATAATAAAGCAGATTGAGGCAACAGTTGTTGTGATTTGCTTTTATAAAAATAAAACTGAATTATTATGAACCATTTTGAATTGAATTGAATAAGGTTAGCGTTAGGATCTTGTGAACTTACAAATATTTGAATATAATTTTTGTCAAGTGGAAAATCTTTTTGACAGAAAAATTGTGATGCAAAAATCTACAAATTAATTGAGATTTTCTTAATTTGTATTAATCTTTATAAATAAAAATGGAAAAAATTAAAGAACTAAATTACAAAATATCACAAGATATGAAATGTTTTATACTGTATATATCAGTGCTTACTGATAATCTGACAGCCTAACTCATATATTTTATGTCTAATGAAACAAACCCACTGGTGCTTTCAGAGAGCCTGGATCGGGCTGTATGATGACATCGTTGGCTGGCAGTGGTCAACGTCAGAAACCAGTGAGTTCAGAAACTGGTCACCTGGACAACCAGATAACAAATGGGTTATAGAATACTGCGTATTTATGCTTGATGGACCGTGGTTTTATGACCCTTGTACGAATGTGTTCAGATTCGTCTGCTCTAATAACACAGGTGAGGATTTTCAACTTAACTAGAAGCTTAGAACAAAACAGGTCCTGTTCTGTGCTTTTATTGATGTTTCAACAACGGCCTAATTGTTTAGACTTACAAATGCATTTACAGTTGTACACAGCACTTGAGTATGGTCTGTTTTCAGGGTCGACTAGGACATTTGTCTTCATTGACATTATAGCGTCATGGGCGAACGCCCGGAGCTACTGCAGACTTCATTACACAGACCTGGCCAGTGTGAGGAACATGACAGAGAACCAGGAGATAGATGACCTGGTACCTCCAGGGATAAGGGTGTGGATCGGCCTTTTCACAGAGTCCTGGAAGTGGATGGATGGAAGTAACTCCTCATTTACATATTGGCAAACAAATGAACCCAATGGACCAGAGCCTTGCGTGGCAGCAAACTTTTTACTAAATGCAAAATGGGAGGACTGGGCCTGTGGCTCACAGAAGGAGTTTGTTTGCAATGTTGGTAAGCATTACTACCTGAATCATTGGCTGCTATTGGTCACAATTTACAAACTACACCCTAATGTAAAAGGTTCTTGCTGTACATCCGCTGTTGTGGTGGCAGCTGCTCAATATGTGAAAGTAACTGTATGTGAGAAAACAGTCCTGTACAGTGAGCTCCTAGCTGCTGGCTTCACATTTTGTCACCCAGAAACCTCAAGTGGTCACACAGTTTATTCTGCCAGACCCACATTCAGTGTTGTGATGGAAGCTGCATCAATCGTTGTGTTCAGTTCAGAGGTTTGAAGTGAACACTGTAAAATTATTGTGAATATTAGTATGACAGGATGGGTCATAACAAATGGGCCATTTCTGTTTTCTGGTTGTCGCTTATATATAAAATTAAAACAGCAAACAACACACCAGGAAGGTTAATCTGAGATTTTGGCACTCATAAGTGTTTAATTGCAAGTAAATTATGTATTTAAAAGCAGAATATAAAAATGCAAGTGAAAGATAGAGCTGATGAAGGATGTAACAATTTGTTCTTATTTTAAAAGCACCTGTTTACAAGGAAGTGGTGAAAGTGAACCTGATAAACTCCGGTCTGGATCTGACCCACCCTGATGTGATGGAAGCCACGCTGAACCAGGCAAGTCATGTTTATTTATTAATATACATGAGAGAGAGATTATACATGCACACATACATCTGTGTATGTGTGCATGTATTTAAAAATTGAAGCTCTCACTGAATTGCAGCTTTATCACAACACTCAATGTGGACCTAACAATCTGGCTGGATTCAGTTGCACGACTGTGTGAGCAACTTAAGACTCTCACTACTTCTGGGTCTGTCCTCGTGATGTGTCACTGAAACTGCCAGTCGACTGTATCTGCTTCACAACAATATAGTAACAAGAATTTTTCTCAAATCAAACTTAAAGCAGCGTATTACTTCTACTTGATCACTAAACAAGTGCTTTATTACAGCATATGAATACATTTTTCTTCAATATTCAAAACACTGACTATTAGAGATGATTTCATCTGTGTATTAAAGTTGTCTACACAAAATGTTTTGTCATGCTTGTTTGCACAGACACCTCCTTCAGCTCATGTACCTTAGGCTGAGTCAGGTTTTGAGTTCTCAGTTATATGTAAGAGCCATGAGTGTCAGTCTGTTTCATCCTGGCAGATGAAGCTGTGGGGAGCAATCCTTCGAGTACTGTGAAAATCATCAGCCCACAGTGTTCAAGCCAAATGCCTCAGCTTAGGACCATGATCCCGTTTGGCCTCTGGTTTGTAGCTTGTTGTAGTCCTGGTTATGAAAATGAGGTTCGATTTAATCCACGAGTGCTTGCTCTGTGCACAAGTTTAAGATCCACTGAAGTCACAGATATAAAAGTACACGTGGTCAGTACGACGCTTGCAAAGAGCGATCAAAAAATAGTAACCAGAGTCTGAAAAGCACAAGGTGTTCAAATAGTCCTCCTTTAAGAGTAGCTGCGCCACATTTACACCTGGGATTGTTTTATTTTTATCACACATTATAATAACTTTTTATATATTTCATTTCCAATATTTGGACCAATCTCATGTGCTTTTGTAGTTTTATTAGACATTATTATTAGTCATCAACTCTCTTGTGAAATATTACTGCAAATTTAAATATCTTCTCTTAAAAATAGATTCTGAAGAATTTAGTGTATATTATTGTCTGAGTAATGTTAAGTATTTGTGTGTGTCAGATCCAACAGAAGCTGAAGGAGCAGGGAGTACAGGGAGACGTCAAACTGAGCTGGAGGAAGCAGTCAGATGGATCGGTCTTCCACAAGGACGAGGAAACGAAGAAGAAGAGCATCGTGTGAAAATAGTTCAAGAAATGTTGCTTTCGCCTTTGACCTTTCAAGTGCTATTGTGCCATATTATCATATTATTCTATGCTTTGTGTGAATATCATCATCCAAACAAAACAAAAATCTAATTATGATGTCTTTGCATAGTTTTACATAGTTTTATTCTTACCTGTTAACATTTAAAACACAAGACGTTTGCTGGGTATTTGGTGACAGTTCACTGTAATTTTAATACATGCGGTTTTTCGCTGTTGCACTTGTTAGACTATAATATTATTTTATGCCATGTTATACCCCTAATTAAAGATTGTGAATTATTATGTAGTTTTAGTTTGCATTATTCTCCTGAATTAGAAGAAGCTGATAACTATTGCATCTGTTAAACTGATTTGCATTACATTAGACTGCTGATTTATTGTGGATGAATGATATTGTTTTATGATGCATTATACTGCTGAGTTATAAGAAATACTGTTTGCAGAAAGTCATCGCCTTATTTGTCTGATTAGAAGAGAACAGAATATGCTGGAGTTTTCTGCCCCATCTCAGCAGGAGCAGATAAACGGGGAGCCAAGGTCGTAGCTTAGGCGCCGTGTGAGAGAAAGCATGTGAATGTTTAGGCTTTTATGATAAGGTGGGGGCACCAGAGGCTATAAGAGTTTGATCAATGCTCCACCATTTTGAGATCTGAGGCTGTCTGCATACAGTGTCCATCTCCCACGCGTGTGACTATTAAAATCATCGTTTGACTTAACCCGGCCGGACCAGTGTTGTTATTGTGGTTTTTTTCTCTTGTCTCCATCCCCAATTTTGAAATCGTAACACACTTTACAGACAGCCACTGAGTGTTTGATGCAGTAGAAGCAGAATTAGAAGCTGATTGAGGCTGTAAAGGTGGCGCATTCTTCACAAAAGCAGGTCAGCCCCACGCACGGGGCGAACTTGCTAACGGAGATTTGCACATTGGTGCGGTTATGGCGTTAGCGTCATTTTAACTAGATTAAAGCTGACAGCATGAATATTATGAGATGGGCCGGCTCATCATTATCCTGATTTGCATTTGTTTGTCTCACTCAGTCCAAAAATTACATCAATAGGGAGACGTGGATGTCTACCAAAGAGTAAATAAAAGGGCGAGTATCCTGTCACTAGTTGTGCAATTATCGGCATGCACAACCTTGTTTACATAGTCACTCCAGTTTTCTTTCTTTTCCTCATCCAGGGTCCGCAGCATTCACAGCACGGTGCGATTAAACCTTTCCACTGGGTTTCCCTGTGGGTGGTAGGGTGTAGTCTTTGAATTAGCTCCTGTGTACTTCTGCAGCTGTTTGAATAAATGGTTTTCAAATTCTCTGCCTTGATCATGATGTAATTTACCAGGAAAACCAAATTTCAAGGAAAAGTCATTAAAAATTTTATCTGCTGCTGTTTTGCCAGATTTGTTGCGTGTAGAGTAGACTTGAGCAAACTTGGTGAAGTTGTCCTGTATCACTAAAATATACTCATACCCTCCCCTGCTCTTTTCGAGATGGACATAGTCTATTGAAACCATTTCAAGGGGTGCAGTAGCCGGCATGTGACACATGGAGGCGCTACGCTGAACTGTAGGTTTTTTTTCTGAATATTACATTTGCACACGTGTGATGAAAAACTCAATATCTTTGTACATATTCAGCCAATAAAACCTACTCCTTGCCAAATTCATCACACGGTCCACCTCCAAGTGACCCATTTCGCAGTGAAGGTGTTTGTACACCAGTTCTTTGTTCGATTCTGGAATCACAATCTGAGTATAAGTCACAATCTTTCGTATCAGCAACCCATCATCTGAAATAAACAGCTTTTTCCACTCATGTAGTAGCTGTTTTACTTTAGGATATTTGGTCGCTGATGTTTTGTCAAAGCTTGCACCTGTGCTCTTTAAGTTGAGAACATAAGCTACGGCAGAGTCCTGCTTTTGAGCTTGTAATAGCTCCTGTGTTGTGATTCTCACATCTGGCTGAGTTTCTCTAAGTATCTTATTTACTTCTGGATTGCACGTTATAGCCAGAGGTGGGACCAAGTCATTGTTTTGCAAGTCTCAAGTAAGTCTCAAGTCTTTATCCTCAAGTCTCAAGTCAAGTCTCAAGTAATGTCAGGCAAGTCAGAGTCGAGTCTCAAGTCACTGGTGTAAAAGTCCGAGTCAAGTCACAAGTCTGAAACTTTGAATTTCAAGTCCTTTCGAGTCTTTAAAAAAAAAATGAAAAAATAATGTTGCAGTTATGCTAAATGTAAATATTAGACCATGTAATTTTAAAAGCTGTGTTTTTCTCAACACATGACAAAATAGTGAACTTAGAAAATATACACAAATTGTGAAATTGCACCTCTTTAAAATGCAGCTCAATTAAACTTAGCTCCAAGAATAATTTTCACCGACAGTTCTGAGATACGCTGCATGTTATTCTTGGATGCGGTTGTAGGACCGGCTTTAAAATCGCATGACAAAAATATCATACACATTAAAAAAAAACTGCATCACCAACGTAGCCTGGACAACATTTGCTAGTTAGATGAAGTCAGCTATCTCATTGTAGCATATTTATATGCATATTTATAATTATACGGTTCTTGGAGTGAGTGCATACACTCATGAAGTTTAGTAACTTCAGGTCACTGCAACAAGCCCAGGTACAGTTTACCGACGGATGGGTGCAGGACCTTGAAATGCACCGTGTAGAACGAAAGACCATCGTACGTATCATAAGTTTACCAGTCTCACAAATCGTCGTCATAAATACACATTCGTTAACCGTTTATTAATAGGACCTTTGAGCTCAACGGTAATTAATTAGTAGTGGAAATAATTTCTGGTAGCATCACAGAAATGTAGCAGTGACAACAATACTGTATGCTGTAATCGTACTGGGCAATTAGTGATACAAAACAACTGTTTTATCCTGTGAATAAAAGTATATGTTTTTGTCAATGTACCATAATAACAGAGGCGAAACGCAATATTGTGTCAGGACAATTCACTATTTATGCACAATAAATAAAGGAGCATAGCGCGACCATTTCTGTTCAGCGCCAGACTTGCTTGTAACCTATATCACCAATTATGTTATGAAAATGACGCATTAACTACAACAGAAGACTGACCTTCGTGTAAATGCTTGGAGCAGACTAACCTGTGAGCTGGAGGGTTCTGGGACGTTATATTTGATCTTTGAATGGCTGCAATCCAGTCGCGTCTTTGTTACTTCGGAAACATGGCTCGAACAATTTCTCTTCAACGACGTAATCCGATAACAACCGATCTCTTTACCCGTCGGCTTCCCGTGGCTGTCATGCGACCGGCTATTGCAGTTAATAATACAACAGCTTCTTGACATTTTTGTGTTTCTTTTTATCGCTGTATAACTGATTTCAATTGAAAGCCTGCGTGCGCTAGTACCGCTTGCCACGAGTTCCCAGAATCCTTTGCGGTTCTACCCGTGAATGACGTCACATTTTCAATCTCTATATAATATGCATGTTAAATTTTATATTTGGGGTAAAATATCAAGTCTTTTCAAGTAAACCGGTTCAAGTCCAATTCAAGTCCCAAGTCATTGGTGTAAAAGTCCAAGTCAAGTCACAAGTCTTAGAACATTTTTTCAAGTCAAGTCTAAAGTCATAAAATTAATGACTCGAGTCTGACTCGAGTCCAAGTCATGTGACTCGAGTCCACACCTCTGGTTATAGCTGATATCCAATCCAGTTGTTGTTCTTCCTGTGTTTCAATGGCATTCAGTACTGCGCTTAACACTTCAGGCGAACACAGCTCAGTACATTCTGACATGTATGAGTTCATACTAGAAGGTGTTCTGGACAAAAAGTCTGCATCCACGTTACTTTTTCCAGGTCTGTATTTCAGTGTTATGTTAAAATCAGCCAGCTCGGAAACCCATCTGTGTCCTGTCGCATTCAGTTTACCTGTGCCTAAAACATAGGTTAAAGCAGGGGTGGGCAATCTCAGTCCACGAGGGCCGGTGTCCCTGCGGGTTTTAGATCTCACCTTGGGTCAACACACCTGAATCACATGATTAGTTCGTTACCAGGCCTCTGGAGAACTTCAGGACATGTTGAGCTAATTTAGCCATTTAAATCAGCTGTGTTGGTTCGAGGACACATCTAAAACCTGCAGGGACACCGGCCCTCGTGGACTGAGATTGCCCACCCCTGGGTTAAAGGGTTGTTGTCACTGTATACTGTCACTGAGGAAACATATAACAAATAGTCTCTAAAGCGCTCAGTCGCCGCCCATTTTAGTGCCAAAAACTCCAGTTTCCCTGAGTGCCACCTGTAGTTCTTCTCAGCCTGTGTTAATGTTCTTGATCCATATCCAATTACTCTTAATTTACTGTCCTGCCTCTGGTACAAAACTGCACCAGGGCCTTCTTCTGATGCATCGATGTGCAGAATGAAGGGTTCCTCAAACTTAGGATAAGCCATCACGGGTGGATTAGTCAAAACATCCACCAAATAGTCTAGTGCTTTTTGGGTGGCTGTCACTCCATATGATTTTTTTGGGTGGGTGCAGCATGCCCCGCCTTGGCTGACCGCGCTGGTGTTTGGTCAACTGAGAGTAAATCATATAGTCACATTGCATGTCTTGAAAAATCTTGTGCATAGCTTCGGTAGTATCCTAAAAGCTTTCTCAGCTCTTTAATGTTTGTCGGTGGGTTGTCCTTCAAAGCTCGTCCTGCTTGTACCTCTTTTTCATCCATTTTGTAACCGTCCTCATTTTTAAACAAGTCACATTTATCAGGTCTTAGTTTTACGCCCCAAGCCTGCTGACGTTTGAGAACTGATCTCAAATCTTCAATATGCTGCTCAAATGTTTGACTGTACACTAAAACATCATCTAAATATGGAGTGCATATTTTGTCCCTCAAGCCTTCTAAACTTTCCTCCATACTACATTGGAAAGCTGAAGGCGCATTGGTGAGTCCAAATGGAATTCTATTCCATTCATACAGCCCCCAGGGTGTTGTGAAGGTGGTATATATTTTCAAGTCTTCGCTGATTTCACCTTGATAGTACGCTTTGCCTTGGTCAAGCACACTAAACCACGTATTACCGCCAAGTCCATCAAGGATTTCCTGTATTCGTGGAATAGGGTGTCTGTCTGGAATGGTCTTTTTATATAGGCCCCTATACACACAGTCTCAGGCCTCCATCCCGCCTCCTCACACACACTATTGGAGAGGCATATGGTGAGGTTGATTTGCGGATAAAGTCTTTTTTTAACAAGTCCTGAATGTGAC